TCCTGGACTTTCTTTCCTTCTTCAGTCCACACCATGGTCTTCTCAATGTTGTACAGGTTTTGGACTCTATCTGTGTCACAAAAGGAAGTAAGACAAGACTAACTACATCGGAATAAAGAGTGAAAATTTTTTAGACATGCACTTATACAGATTTGATCCTCTGGGGCACTAAGTCCCAAGAGAACAACTTCTGTGAGCCACCTGTCTTGTGGAATACTCCGAACAGCTTATAAGTACCATTTCTCTTTTCTTTGTCTCCTCTCTCTGACCTAGGAAATTTAAAATGTGTTTTTCAGAAATGGGCTGGAGAAGGATGAAGTTGTATAATTTGCAAAGCTAAAATATGTCATCCTGGTACAACCTAATAGCTACATTGTCCCTGGGACAGTTTCCATCAGATATGATGGATATCCTAGAAACAAGCAACCAAATTAGCGAACACAACAAAACAGTTGGAGGGGTAGAAAGGCAATCAACCATTTATTTTTGTTATTGTTTTAAAGTTTGATTTGTTTTATAACGTGAAGAATGTCCATACTTCTTGACTAGCTGAACATCGTTTTTTTTTTGTTGTTTTTTCCATTTTTGTACTTTTAAAATGTAGCCCAGTCCTATACCTTGAATATTTGACCTTCCAAATCTCATGTTGAAATTTGACCCCAAGGTGGGGCCTCATGGGAAGTGTTGGGGTCATGGGAGTGGATTCCTCATGAATGTCTTGGTGCCATCCTTGTGATGGTGAATGATGTCTCACTCTATTAGTTCCCACAGGGCTGGTTGTTAAAAAGAGCCTGGTACTTCCTCCACTCTTGTTTTCTCTCTCATCATGTGATCTCTACACGCTTCCCCTTCCATTTCTGCTATGAGTGGAAGCCACTTGAGGCCCTCACCAGATGCAGATGCCAACATTATGCTTCCTGTATAGCTTGCAGAACTATGAGCCGAATAAAGCTCTTTTTCTCTATAAATTATTCAGGCTCATGTATTCCTTTATAGTAACATGAATGGACTAAGACAACCACTATTCCATTCAGATATTATTTTATCCTAAATATTATAAGACACTAAAGTTTTAAACATGTTAAAGAAAAATGTGACGGTCATTTCAACCAACCTCAAAAAACAAATTATATTAAATAATTTAAAATATTTTCATTTGTTAGGAAGGGCCAATATATAATATTAATACTATGTATATATTATATATTTTTCTATGAAAACTACACTTCATCAACTTTGCAAAAAAGTATTCTCTTTCTTACAAGTCATTTCACCTTGTCACTAAATATAAACACACCCATATTAACCTCTTGCTTTGCTCCACCAGGTTTCTAAAAGGAAAACAATATTTCTTTATTCATACAGGAGAGTCTTTAATATATGTCCTGAAGCCTACTGATAGGTTGAAAACAGGTACAATGTCTTTGGAATTTTTGCAACCTTTATAATACATACTAGCATTTTATACATAGTAGAAACAATGAATCTTTTTATCTGAAAATTGAGTACTGTTTTGAAGCAACAATGACAGCTAACAAATAAGTATATAGCTAATAAATGGTAATATATGGGTATCTGCACAGCTCTAATTACTTTACAATTGATATATTTAATAATCTTCTGATAATGTTACTTATTATCCTCTGTGTAGAGAGAGAAGACAAGAGAAGCTAAGCATTTTGCTCAAGGTCACACCACTAGTAAGTGTAATTTCTGAAGCTCAGCAGACTATCTCCAGAGCCAGCATTCTTAGGTTCAGCACTGAATGACTTACTCTTTATTGTTTTAAAAAAAATTACAATGATTCGCATTTAATTGAAGAATAGATTTCTTCTGAAGTTTATGTTGAAAGCCTGTTACAGTACATTGTCTGGCCTTTTCACTGTTAAAAGTTTCTTTGGTGCTTATTTGAAACAGATGCAAGCACTTAAAATATCCGTTCCCATTGTGTTTCCCTGTGATTTGCTGGAGTATGTCAGGTTGCCTCCAGGAGATCAATTTCTTAGTGACTGTCTGATTTTATTCGTCTTGCTACTTCTTTACAAAACTGCAGCTTCGTGGATCTCTTAAAGCATGGTTGTTCAGAGTTTTATTGCATCTCTAACCAACATTCTGTCTCCACCTGTCATAAAAAGCTTTAGGAACACCATGAGAAGAACCTGGGTGGGTTTCTCAAAACACAATTTCTTCAACCAAGCCTGTTGGCAAGATACGATGGCAGGCTAATGATAGTGCAAAGTTTATTCTCACTTACTTTCAACTATAGAAACTAATGAGTTACTTAAAAGCCTTCGCCTTTCTTTAGGTTACTTTACGTCTAAGTTACTGTTCTTGACTTTCTTTTTCCACAAATTTTGCCTTTTAACTCTTTATTTGTGTTAAGTGTTTAATTGTTATGTTTCATAATTTTCCATGCAAAACGACAGGGACAGGGAAATGTCACTGTGAGCCCTCAGTGTTGGACAGTTCTGTCTCTTGTCCCTGTGGATGGGGATGAATTACGGTATCATTTTAATGTGCTTTATTTCTCTCTCTGGTAACAGGAATGATTTGATAGGAGTGTTTTGGTTAGTCAGTGTTTCTGGTTGATACAAATATGATATATCGTAGATTTTAGGGAATAGAAAAACAATAAAAATATACTGTGTACCAATCCAAACATATCATTGTTGATGAATCAAAAGTCTCTTCCTGGTCTTATTTTTTTGTCAAGGTTATGCCTTTGTTAAATTTAGGAAATATTTGAGATAGTATCTGAAGAAGATATGTTTGGAATTTGGTTAGGTTTACAGGAATTATGTTTCTGAGTCGGTTGAGCTAAGAATGGGAAACACTCTCATGGTGAAGCCTCAGGCAGCTTCCATCCCAAAGCAACAAAACTAGTAGAAGTCTAATGAAAACCTCCTTTTTAGTGAAATCCTTTTGATATTTTGGCATCTGTATCCCTTAAATATGTAACTATACACTTTTGTTCCATAGTATTTTTGTGTATTTTTATTATTGTACTTGTACATCATCTCAATATTTCCTGTTTATGTACTCCTCCAGGATTGAGACTTATTCTCTGTATCATCCCTTCTGACCTGACTGGGATGACAAAACTCCATAATCCCAACATGTTTTGTTAATGCTAGGGAAACAAATATTGATATTTTATTTAACTTAGGTGCTCTTGAAATAATTTAAGGTGACATTGCTTATTTATAAAGTTTAATTTTCAGTATTAAATATAAACAGTGTCATGGCAGCTTTGCAGATATTGTGACAATCACTTTTTTAAATGTAGATGAGTGTCTATCTGAGGGCTTTATTGGTGTTAGTCTGCTTTATTGTTATGGTATGGAATAGCATTTCACTTTTTAAGGATGCTTATGACCTTGTTAAATAGCAGACCAAAAATCATGTGGCTTGTTTTGATTTTAACCAAAGTTACAGCTGCCTAGCTGTAAAGCAGTCAGTTTCTCTTATTATGACTAGTTCTTCAACTTGTACTGTTTTAAATTGCCTGCAATTAGCATATTTCAACCTTATTTTTAGGTTTAAATTGCAGTGTGAGAGTGTACTCTCCTCTTAGCTAATTAGTGCTATCAAGGAACAGTAGGTTACCTCATTAGTACCATGTGCATTTAATTAAAGAAGAGAAAATTGGAGTTAACCTCATAGTTAATATTTCCACAGAGTGCTACAATGCCAACACCTTCAATTGGAGTCACACCCCTGTGTGTCTAATTATGCACTGGTGCCAAATAAGGTTAGCAAGGGTACCACAAGGCTGTTGACAAAATAATTTAGATGAAAACGTATGGATTCTGACAGTAAAATATAACTTGAACATTTTCCCCTCAGTCTTCATCTGCTAGCATCAGGTGACATACTTCTTCCTAGGAAACAGGAGGAAAAGGATATTTTGGAAGCCATTTTTTCCTGTTTGAATTGATGTTCCTCTTATCTTCAAGAAAATGGCATGTATCATGTAAAACATATACAATTCATTTCTTAAACAGAACCTCTGAACTTCATAGATGTATTTGAAAAGAATTATTTATAAGATGTAATATTTACATGCATCAAACCACTACAAATACTCCCTGACACCCTTAACACATCCCTCCTTGCTTTTCTTCTTTTCTGGTATAGTTATAATTTCCCTTGTGTATCTTATGAATGGGGATCATCCTTTCATATCATACATGAAGTCTAAGGATGTGTTGTCACATGGTCTATTCAAATGCAGTGTAATCCTTTTGCCCTTCAGACAAAATCTTTGAAATGTCTAATGCTACTTAGGTAAAAAATGACATTCCATGTCATTTATCAATAAATAATCACTTTGCTTTTACAGATAAAAATGCAAACTATACATTTGAGTATATAGAGTAGTTTTCAATGCAAATGGTACAATTCAACAGGTTTTAAGAGATATTATGGAGGTTGGTTGCATAGTCTTAGATACATTTTAGTGGCAATAATTTTTATATAATAATGCATAACCACAGCCATTTATTTAAAGAGATTATTGTGATTGTTCTCATATGACACGGTAGGACAGGATTTATGTTCATTCGTATTGGTTATAAGTGATTACAAGTCAGAGGTTAGCTTTTTCAGAATTAGAGATGATTACATTTTAAGAACAAAGAACATTTCATACACTAAAATTGCAGTGTCATTTAAATATATAGATGTATTTATGATTCTTAGCTTACAAGTTGGAAGCAAGGTTCCTAAGGCAGGTTCATGGTACATAATCAGTGAATTTTTTAGTTATAGGTTAATTTATTATGATCCAAATATTCAACTTTCCATCTGCCAAATTATTTCTATTTTTAAAATCTATACTAGTTAACTGTGAGACAATAGTGGAATAATCTTGTCTATTTTGACCTACCAAGATAATAATCCCAAAAACTGATTTTTAAAAATGGTAATGTACATTATTAGCATAAGCCTTAAGATTGAAAAAAAAAAAGCCAACTCCTCGTTCTCTTTGTTTAACCTAGGAATTGCTTCCAGAAACAAAATTATGTGTCTGTGGCCACTCTTCTGGTGATGGGCATCCTCACAACACATTTGCAGTAAGTTACACTGGGCAATTAGAAATTCAGCTACTAAGCACAGGGCCATAGACCCAGTCCCACTAAATAGATTATATATGATTTTTTATAGCCAATCCCTTCCATTGGTGCCATTGGTGCAGATAATCAAGATATGACTAATGTTAAGATACAGATGTAATTACTTGATTTTCTGTTACTTCTTTTGTTTTCAATTCAGTTATGTTTCACTAGATATAGAGTTCACAGCTTTTGTGAGTTGATGACATTAAAGATTGCCTTAAGCATAAAGAGGCTATAACACTACTATACTTTTCTTGAACTTTTAGGAATAATTTGTTGAGAGAGTGCTGAAACGAAGAAAATAAATACGTGGACATAGATTGTGGGTTGATCCAACACATTTTTTAGAACAAAATTGCTGTTCCATGTTCTTCAAGTTGTCATATAAATATACCAAAACCTTTTAAACATATTTTGCCACTAGAGTGTAGCTTGTCATTTTGGACAGTAATATTTGGTGAAAAATGCTTATGTCACCCAATTCTCATATCAGTTAGCCTTGGAAATGAATAGTAATCCTCAAGTCTCCATTCAAGAATTTTTAAATAAAGCAACTTCGTGTTTCTATTCAGCATAGATTCTATCTGTATTCTTAAGAAATCTCTAAATATATAAATCATGTATTTTTACATATAGGCAGTCCTTCACATTCATGGGTTCTGTAACTGTGGATTCAACCAATCACAGGTCCAAAATATTTGGGGAAAATGTAGATGGTCACATCTCTACTGAAAATGTTCATACACTTTTCTTCTTATCATTATTATTACCCCAATAATACAGTGTAGCAACTATTTATACAGCATTTTTTATATTAAGTATTATAGGTAAGCTAGAGATGATTTCCAGTATACAGGAGGATGTGCATAGGTTATATGGAAATAGTACATCATTTTATATAAGGGACTTGAGCAATATAGATTTTGGTATCTACGCGTGTCATAGAACGAATCCCCCACACATACCAGAGGACTACTATACACAACTTTTGCTTATTTCCTTAAGAACTGATGTATTAGGCTCAGTGGGCTAGAGTATTCCTAAATTGACTCAGCCAAAATTTATTTACTTTTTACTACCCTATACATAATATTTTCTAATTGTAATTGACAAAAAACAACAAAATTAATAGTCATATACAATCAGTCTTCCTGAATGAAGAAATATCTAATTTCATACTTTGATTAAAAAGATAGGAAATGTTTTCAATAAAAATACTGTCAAATTAATACAGGATATTTATGGAAAATATAAAACTTTTAAAAATGTTTGTTGCAATACAAAAATAAACTCAAAGCTAAAAGCAGCAATAACATATCCTATTCTATAGGAATAGTGAATGTCAAAAAAAATAGTGAATGGCGAGGACTGGTAATAAATGTTATATATGCAGGCTTCAGAGAGATCTGAAATGACCTGATTTGGGGTCTCATTCATTTTAATCCTATAGTATTTGGCCCCCCTAAGCTTTTTTGTAGTAACATTTGAAAAAACGTAGAAAAACTTTAAAATGGTGGTAAGTTTTGCTGATATAATGTAATTAAGCTTATGTGAAAGATTAAAATAATCTTAATTTCTAAGTATTCTCTGTATAGTTTAAAGGAAGATAAATTTTAGTTAAATATCAAATGCAATTATATACTTTATAAAGAAAATTAATTTAAAAATTTCTCTTAAAAAGATGTGTTGGCCGGGCGCAGTGGCTCACGCCTATAATCCCAGCACTTTGGGAGGCTGAGGCGGGTGGATCACCAGGTCAAGAGATTGAGACTATCCTGGTCAACATGGTGAAACCCTGTCTCTACTAAAAATACAACAAAAATTAGCTGGGCGTGGTGGTGCGCCCCTGTAGTCCCAGCTACTTGGGAAGCTGACGCAGGAGAATTGCTTGAATCCAAGAGGCGGAGGTTAAGGTGAGCCGAGATCGTGCCATTGCACTCCAGCCTGGGTAACAAGAGTGAAACTCCATCTCAAAAAAAAAAAAAGATTGTGTTAAAAATGGGACAGTTTTCCTAATTAGTAACACGTTTTCCTAAAATAATACTGATGGAAAAATTGTTTTCATTAGACTGAAGAGTGAGCTGGCTTAAGTGCTAATAGTATTTGCTTTTTATCTAAAACTACTTCTACCATTTAAAATAAATCTCTATTCTACTGATGAGAGAAAAGAAATCTATCACATCAAATCTTTATATTTTCACTGACATCTTTTTAGAATGAAAATGAGACATGTAGAAGTCAAATGATTCACCACAGACCATGTAATTTCTCAATGGTAGGGTTGAATTTGTCACCCAAGTTGTGATCACCAGTGTGTGTGTTTCCAAAGGTATCCCAATTTGTTCTTGGCTGCCTTGAGTGCAGTGTTATAGAAGCTTGAGTTTATTCCATGTGTCTATGACTGCATCTCATCTCTCAGAAAGAAAGAGTACCAGGATGAGTTGGTGAGGTCTGATCTGGCTGGTGGGGAAAGAGGAGCATGGCCCTGCATTTGCTTGACGTCAGATGTTTGCCATCTCAACAGTGTGCCGATTTCATACTTCATATTGGTCATTGAGTGGCTTTACAAATGGGGCTTCTTGGCTTCACAACACAAAGGAAATACTATTTAAATAATATTAAATGCTTATTTTCCTTTATTGATTATTTTAGATATAAACTTCAGAATGCTAAAATTGTTACATAATGTGATTTAAAATCAATACACTACCCAGGACAAATACTATATTATTCATAGATGAAAATTTCTATGTGATAGATGAAAATTTCTATGTGATGGACATGGTTGTCTTTTAGTATTCACTGTATTTATAAGTACCAATATGCCAGAGTGGTAGTCTGGAACACTGTAAGAGTACTGGTGGGCTAAAAGGAAGAAAGAGAACAAAAGGATAGATGTGGTACCTAAAGCCAACCATATTCCTTCATCATCTATGTAACTGACATTTATAATAAATTGTAAATTATTATAATAGTTTGAAAATTTTAAGAGACCCTACATAATGCCTATCAAGTTGTTAATTTAATATCGCACATATTATTTCCATGGTTGGTCTGCCTTCACACACACACAAGCCAAAATTTTCAGGTGTGTGTTCCAAATTGGTGTATTAAATTAATTTTGACTCTTCTTAGCACACACAATTCACTTAAAAAATAAATATCACTGAGGTTTATTAACAAGTCTGAAGTAAAGTTCCAAAAATTGCAGGGAGAGAAAGCCATTTACATTACCAAATGAAGGTTAAAGCCCAAATTATCTCAAGGAAATAATATTGCATATTTGATATTAAACAGAGGTCAAAAGCTCTCCATCACACCATCCCCTTTCAGATATAATTGTATGAATTTACTAGCAAAACATGCAATAAAAATGTATTTTCCTAGGGGTTTTTCTGGTGTTTTGGCTTATTGATAGCCATCAAACATTGTCCATCCCCTGAGTATTGTCCCTCCCTATTATCACATTGTTGAACTATAGTGATATTTTAATGTACTTGCTAATGAATTATCTTTAATGTGCCTCTATCAATTTATTACAATACTGGGCAGTAATTCCATGTATTTACTTAATGTGAAAATTATGATTCTAATTTTTATCTACTTGTATTTAAAAGAAATATTTGGGCTCCTTCATTTGTATATTTACTATTCTAATAGTAACAATATAATGTCCTTATCATAACTTTGAGTTTAATAGATAAAAAGGCATTAATTTCTGGCTTTAAAAAGCAAGGGTATCAAAGTAAGAGAGCTTCATTGTTAAAGAATACTTTTCAGTGCTTGCTTTTCACATTGAATTTTTTCGAATAGTGTCTAGTTTAATCTGAAAAAAAATCTTTACTTATTTTACTTTTCTTTCAAACTTCAGTACTAGGATACATGCTTTTCTCTTTTTTCCTGACGTATCAAACAGCTTTACAAATGACTAACTCTGCCAAGATTCTAAATTTCACAATCTTTGGCTTCCTTACAAGATAGTAACCCAAGTTCGTTCACTACTCTTTAACTATACCCTGTTGATACCTCATCTGCCTGAATGACCTCATTAACACCTATCTGCAAGTAATCTTGTTGTTAGCCTTGCCTACAGGTTTTTACACCTAAGTGAATACTGTTTTACATAGGATTCTGCCAGGTAGTTCTAACTGCTAAGGCAATTTTGTGGAATGCTTAGGGTCTTTGTCTTTGGCTCTTATTTTTAAAAGCTTTAGCATTGAGCCAGATGAATCTTTTGATGAACAAAATGTCTTGTACCTATAATCTGAAAATGAAACTTGACTGGCCTTGGTCTAACTGCTTTATTATCCATTCAAATTAAATTACATTGGCCACATTTGATGTTTCTCCCTACAGGTCTTTACTATGATTATCTCCTGAATGGTTCATTTTTAATGGAGATGCTGGATTGGAAGAAATAAGAAAACAGGGATAGTGACACTTTTTAAAATATCTTTTTATTTCTGTTCCGAATTCATCTCTCTCTCAACGCTTTACATAAATCCTACACAGCACCAAATAATCCACTGTGTGGGCTCTGCAGTCAGCTTTCTGGTTTGACAGTTGGACCAGTTTCTTGACTTTGCTTAGCTTCATGTTCTCAGTCTGTAAAATAATAACAATACTACCTACCTCGTAAGGTGGGAATTAAAATTGATAACCCTAAAAAGTATTAAGCATGATGACTAACACATAGTAAATATGCAATAGATGTTGAGTCAGTATTGTAACAGCATCAATACAGTCTTGCTTGGATGAAAGAGGCAATTCTGTTGGATGTAAACTTAGGTGTATTTTTGGTATTAACACTAAAGGGGACATTGGGTATTGTACCTTGGGTCATAGCAAAGACAGGTGGCAGTGTTCCCCCATTGAGAGGAGTCTTTATGTTAATCAGTTTAAGTTGAACACTGACGTACTCACTCACAAAATACAGTGTCATCCAAATGCTTTCTGAT